GAAAATATTCAGATGTAACCCCCTTTGTAATCATTAACATTTTCATAAGTAACTGTAATTTAATTACACATTTTCATAAGTAACTGTAACAGATAATAGTTACATTTATTTTATAATTAAATTATGTAACTCTATTACATGTAACTAGTTACTCCCCAACAGTGGAAACATTATATTTCAGAATCAGATGTTTTACGATGATACTGTAAGAATAAATGAAAGAAAAAATGAGTTGTTTATTGCAGCATAGCAGTGTCAATGTACATTTAGTACCTTGAATTCAACAGAGTCAGAATGAACCCCCTAACATCCTAAACTCAAACCTTGTAAGAAAAAATGATGAGGATGTTGAAGATCTCGATGAAGATGTTTATTGCACCATAGTAGTGACAAAGTACATGTAGTACCTTGGGTTCAATGGAGTCGGAATGAACCCCGAACATCCTAAACTCAAACCTTTTATACAGTTACAGTTTATTACCCTTAATGTAAATGAAGTTGCACCTGTCGTAACAGCTGTGGTCTGTATGTTAATGAAGTTCTGACACCCCATTGTCTGAGATGGTTCTCGGTGTCCCACACCTATTCCCATTCTACAATTGGTCACCATTTGCTCAGGATGTGAATTTTTATCTCACAATTCTGACTTTTCTCTCACAATTGTGAGTTTACATCTTGCAATTCAGGCCTTTTTCTCAGAATTTTAAGATATAAACTCGCAGTTCTGAGAAATAAAAGTCACAACTGCAGGATTTTATTGAGAGTTTATATCTCACAATTCTGATTTTGTAACTCGCAATTGTGAGTTTATATCACACAATTCTGAAAAAAAACGTTAGTATGGTGAGAAAAAAGTGAGAATTATGAGATAAAATTCTCAATTACCTTTTTTTGTTTTTATTCATTGGTGGAAACAGACTTCCATAGAAACTTGACTCATCCCATCACTCTCAAGTAATATGGAGAATACTATTATTCCTAAAAACCAGAAGAACTCACAATAATATATGAGAAGGTTTGTCAAACCTTGCGCTTTTCCTGTCTTTGTGTGGCATCTGCCAATCTGCATATCCATCCCAATGTTACAAATAAGATCCTAGACAGAAAACAAACAAACAAACATGGTAAAATCTTCATCATGGTGTAGAATCTTGAGTATTAACAGATTCTATATCTCTCACTTATGAAATTGGAAAATGCACACTTACTGACATGCCCAAAACATATGAACATGGATCAGTTATAGAAGGAAAAGTAAGATCTAAGATCAGGTTCTCAGTTTAACAGCATTGATATGTACAGAATCATTTATTCCTTCAAAATCTTATTTTTAACAGATCAAACTCTCAAATTTCAAAGGCGCACCAATACAAAACAAAGTGGTTTATCTTTTGGAGGGTGAAACCTGGTCCTCAAAACTGCTCCTAAATCTCACTACAGACAGTGATGGACTGGCCAGCTTCTCTCTTAATACGTCTAGTCTTCCTGAAAAAGATATTAATCTGATGGTATGATAATTGCAACTCTACCAAATGTTTAATCAGTTAATGTTTTGATTACATGAAAATATTGGCACATTCTTTTTTTTTTCTCCAGGCAAGTGTGTATCCAGCATTTCATTATCATGGTTACAAAACACCTTTCTTCTCTACGGATAGAAAAACAGTTCAGCTTTTCCGGGCTGCCACTCCATACACCCCAACATTAAGTGAACTGATTATAGAGAATATTGAGCAACCATTACAGTGTGATGCTGAGTTTACAGTGACTATCAAGTATTATTTTGTTGGAGAGACTGTTGAAGACTTCAAAACTGACATTGTCTATATGGTGAGAATGTGCAGTATGTACATTGTTACGCTGTTGAATTCATTGTTTGTTAACAGTAAGGCTGCACTGGTCAGTTTGTCATTGGAGTGTCATCTGTCTGTTTCAGGTCGTGTCCAGAGGAGTGATCGTTCATCATGGATATGAGAAGGTTGAAGTGAAGTCTTCTAATGGAGCAGCAAGTGGCACAGTGTCGTTCAAACTGTCTGTTGGTGCAGATCTGGCTCCTGCAGTGCAGATTCTGACCTACTGTGTTCTGCCCAGTGAAAATGTTGTTGCTCGTAGCACAAAATTTGACATTGAAAAGTGTTTCAAAAACAAGGCATGTAAAAAAAATCTGCCCATTTACACAATCACGGTCATTCTGGTTCAATACTAAAATGACACACCCTACTGTTGTCGTCACAGGTGTCTCTGCAGTTTTCTCCTGCTAAAGCAGTTCCTGGTGAGAAAAACACTCTCCAGCTCTCAGCTCAGCCTGGTTCACTGTGCGGCCTCAGTGCTGTAGATAAGAGCGTCCTGATCCTGAAGCCAGGAGAACGTCTGGATACTGACAAGGTGTAAATGCTTTAAGATTCAATGTTGATTATCTGTGTCTCTATAGATATGAATCTAGTGTCTACTATACTCATCATTATTGTTTAAGGTGACATGGGTGTTAAAGGGATAGTTCACCCAAAAATTATCCCACGATTTACTCACCCTCAAGCCATACTAGGTGTATATGACTTTCTTATTTCAGACGAATATAATCAAAGTTGTATTTAAAAATATCCTGGCTGTTCCAGGTTTTATAATGGCAGTGGGTAATGGTCTAGATTTTGAAGCAAAATAAAGTGCATCCATTCCATCATAAAAAGTACTCCACATGGCTCCGGTGGGTTAATAAAGGCCTTCTGAAGTGAATTGATGTGTTTGTATAAGAAAAATATCCATATTTACAACTTTATAAACCGTAATCTCTATCTTCCGCTAACTGTCGTGCATGCGTCAAACAAAAACAAAACACTGGTCATAAATTAGAAGTACAAAATGAAGATTTGTAAAGAAAATTGTCATAGGATTTCGATATAAGCCAAGAGGAGACTGGTTTTCTTTTGTTGTAAACAAAACTTAGTCCTTGAGAGACTAGCATGTTCTCACCGGAGCTTACGCTACAGCTATCATCCGCTGGAACGCCACTCTGTTGTGAATGTGCGTACGACAGTTAGCGGAAGCTAGAGATTACGGTTTATAAAGTTGTACATATGGATATTTTTCGTACTCAAATGCATCGATTCACTTCAGAAGGTTTTTATTAAGCCCCTGGAGCCATGTGGAGTACTTTTTTATGATGGATGGATGTACTTTATTTTGCTTCAAAATCTTGACAACTATTCACTGCCATTATAAAGGTTGGAAGAGCCAGGACATCTTTTAATATAACTCCAACTGTATTCGTCTGAAAGAAGAAAGTCATATACACCTGGGATGGCTTGAGGGTGAGTAAATCATGGGGTAATTTTCATTGTTGGGTGAACTATCCCTTTAAACCTCATTTTCTTTCCCACCGCTACATAAAGATTAAGAGGTACCCTGACACGAATTATTTAGTGTGAATGTGCTCTCATCACAGATCTTCAACCTGCTGCCAGTGCAATCAGTGTCAGATTATCCTTACAGCGTTGAAGATGAGCAGGAGTGTCTGCATGTGAGACCCCGTCGAGCTTTACTGACAGACAACGCCTATGAATCCTTAAAGGTAACAAGTGGATTAATATGTGTAAAATTCCTCTTATTCTGACAGCTACAAAAATTTGTATTTTATTTATGTTACATTTAATGTGGTTCATTTTGCTGTTGGACAGAGTGTGGGGCTGAAAATGGCTACAAATTTGGCTGTGCGAGTCCCTAAGTGTCTGTCATACAAGGGCTTGACTTATCACAGATATGAAGATATAGGTAATATCTATGAGTTCATTAATGCATGCATTTGCTATCAATGATTTAATATGACTGGAATTCACCATTATTAAGCACTTTTTAATAATGGCACTGCAAGAGCACAAATGACTCTTTGTTTTGTGACATTTGTCTGATCTATAAAGTTATTTAAATCAGCAGTTCTCAAAATTTGAGACATCAAGGTACTAACTGCAAGAGATACACCTCCCAAAATGTAAAGGATCATTTATTCTGTGAGAAAAGTGTGAAATTATAAAGACAATATGTTTAAGTTTAATGTATTGGCTTTTATATTCTTATTATACTTATTATTATACTTTGTATTTTGTTGACAGTGTATCCGTTTCTTCACACTATTTTATGTTAGCCGTACAAACCTGAACTGATTTTTTTTCAATTCAACTTTATTCATAAAGTTATAAATTATTTATAGGCCCCTTGATAAAAAAATTATTAGCATATTACAAAAAAAATTTGAACTAAATAAGTATAAACAGTAAAAGGGAAAATATCATCATGGTTGAAATGTTGTCATTATAAAATAATATACTGTAGGTAGATTTAATGTTGTGAACACAATGTTGTGAATATAGTTTAGATATTTCAGAAAGTGTATAATGTGACAGAGATACGAGACAGTAGTTCTGTACTAAATTGCTACAGTACATGTTCTGATTCAGGTATCACATCATATCGTGTGCTTTTTTTGTAGGGATGCTTGTGTATTACAGTCGATCTGGTATAGCGCTTGATTTGAATGATGGAGACTCCTCAGTTAAAGTGACAGTTCGTACTGTCTTTCCTGAAACATGGATTTGGCAACTTGCTGCAGTTGGGTTAGTGACAATTTTGTTATCTGTCAACATCATTTAACATCATATTAAAACCACAATACCTGTAATGCTTCTCTTGGCACTGTGCATGCAATGAGATTGTGTTCAGAATACATACATGCACATGTAAACAAATATGTGAATTGGATTGCAAAGTTTAGGGTTCATATAAACAGAACTTTCATTGGATTCATTCGGACTGATGAAAATTAGACATACTAGAGACCTACTATGAATCAGATTATCAGTGTTTTATATCTGTGCTGAATGTTGTAAAAACAAAACAGCATCTTAAAAGTCTAATCAAATACTGTTGTAATTTCAACACAGTGACTCTGGATCAGCTCAGGTTCCTGTCACAGTTCCTGACACCATCACCTCTTGGGACACGGAGGCCTTCTGTCTGTCCTCCAAAGGTCTGGGTCTGGCTCCTCCTGCTCAGCTGACAGTTTTCCAGCCCTTCTTCCTGGAGCTCTCTCTGCCTTACTCCATCATCCGTGGGGAGATCTTTGAGCTGAAGGCCACTGTCTTCAACTATCTGTCCAAGTGCATCATGGTGAGACTTCAGACTCAGTCTTATCCAGTGATATCAAATATGGCACTAATCATGTGTGTTTGACTGACAGGTTAAAGTGACTCCAGCTCCTTCCTCAGACTACACTCTCAAAGCCTCCTCTGATGATCAGTATTCATCCTGTCTGTGTGCTAATGGAAGAAAAACCTTTAAATGGATCCTCACTCCTTCTGTTCTCGGTGAGTTTTCCAGTCTGAATCATTGTTTCTCAGT